ATTGCTGCTTCCAAGGGGGGAGTGTCTTTTCCTTTCCCCGGTTGAAACATTTCAAGAGAGCTTCTTTCCCGGTACCACTACCTTGTCAGAATGACGTAGCAAACACAACCTCATCAACTGATGATTCACTAGTTTCAGCAAGAGCTGCCTTGCTGGGTCATACCAAAATCTGTCTAATCCAATGTTATATAATCTCAGTGCCAAATGTTTGGTGTTGCACCACACAAGCTTTCTTGGAACAGTGTTGAATTACTATAATTTGTCTTAAAGTATAAACATGTACCCCATAACACCCCTGTGACACTGTCATCGCAATGTTCTCCTTATGAAGTTGCCATTAAAGCCCTAGAAGATTATCAGTTAAATTTCAATATTGTGAGCAGCTGAATATCAGATGTTGGAACTAAGGCATCAGCACTAGTATCAAAACACCTCCTAGTGCTTGGCACCTCTTGGTCTCTAACAAAACTGATAAAACAGTGATAATAACTCACAGAAGTTTGAGAAGAGGCTTCAGTTCCGCCTTTATTTCATACACAGTAGCCATATGACGATGGTGCTGATGCTGAAACTGTGCTGCACCCCTCAGCACCAGCAGGTGGGGGACAGCAAATCCCAAATCTCATAATTCTCTACAAATCCCAATGCTGAAATTATCTAGACTTCTGGCTGAATTTAGCAGGCACTGCTCCCTACCCTATGTATTTGTTCCAGGTCAGATTCCAGGCTGTCTGTACCCAATCTTAAGTAAATTTGGTGGCAACTCTAGAGGGGCCTTTAGGCTCTGATGTGCAACAGGGATAAGAAGTGAACCTAAGTAGCTGTCTTATACTGAGTCAGATCATTGGTCCATCTAATTCAGTACTGGCTTCTCTGACTAGCAGAAGCTCTCCAGAATATCCTGTTGTTCCTCAAACTGAAGTTTTCAGGGTCTGAACCTGGGACCTTCAAGCACACAAAGCATGTGCTTTACCACTGAGACACAGCCCCTTCCTTATGGGCTGGCATGGAAGGCCCAGTGCGCATAGGGTGGAACAGCCGCAGTAAGATCTGAGACTTCCCCAAGACCTGGTGCACACCATACAAAGATGAGTTTACTCCATGCTCATTGGATGTCCTTGCAATTAATAACATTTGACACAGAGATGTGTCTATGAACATGCACTAAATATGAATCCAAAAGCTGCAACTGATTGAGGCTGCTTAGCACATGTTGTCACATGTCCCTTTTCACTGTTATGGTGTTCACAATAAGGCCCCACAGTGGGCACACTCCAAACTCACTTTATAAAAAAAGGTATCCCATTGTACCACTGTCATTGCAAATGTGAGCTCTTCCCATAATTCTCCCTGATGTCCCCATATCCATACGACAGTCCATTCTGTCACAAGACTTGAACATACCTAGGACCTCCCATTCCATGTCCCCAACTTCTTTCCTTCCTGCTCAGATATGGAATTATGACCTGTGCGTGCCAGTTAATCTGCCAAGTGGAATGTGGGCCAAGAGGGAGGAGGTGTTAGGCGCATTAAATCTCTCACCTTTCTTTAAGCCCCGGCTGCAGTTTTATTGGCAGAGTTGGTGGCCTGGGCCATGTTAGCAGCCCACATTGATTAACTCTTCCTCCTCATATTTCCCTCTTTCCTCGCCATATTCTCCCCCACCCAATTCTCTTCCTCGGCCACCTCACTGCAAAAAGAGACACATCAAGACACAGAAATTATCAACTCAGGGGAAAAAAGCTGATTAAAGAGAGCTCAATTTACAGCTTTGGTATTCCAGCTGGCTTTCAGAGAAGGCTGGAGGTTAATTCTCACTAACTGGGAGAAACTGAAATAGTGGTGTGAGCAAACTCTTAGCACAAGAGAGCTTTCTAATCTCATTGTAAGTAAAGGAAAAAGGTCAGGTGATTTGATATTTCCCCAAAAAGTTGCTAACTCTCATGGCTTTATTACAAGCATGTTCTGAAGCTCAAAAATAGCCTATAAAGTTTTGTCTTGTTTGTTGGAAACAATCTGTTCCAGTCCTCCTTCAGTTTACAGACCAATATTTAAAGACAAAGTGATCCAAGAACTAAGTGAATAAAGGCAAATAAGAATCCTTCTTTTATTTATAACATTTGGCAGCCTCCTTCACTACCCAAATATTCAAGGCAACATAAAGCATTCTGAAGAAACCATAATTAAAACCAAACAAAACAACTAAATACATTGTAAAGTTGAAATTAAAATATCAGCTCTATCCAAAACAGCAAGCCACAACAGGAGATCACAAAAACAGTCCACCCTAGAACAGTTCAGCTGATGCACACTAACCAGAGAGGGGTCAGGCCGATTTCCTTTAACCAGGCTCATTATGTTGAAATATGATGAACATTTGGCCTTGAGAATCCTTTAAATTTTATTTATTTATTTATTTTCATTACATTTATACCCCGCCCTTCCCGCGAACGGGGAATCTCCCTAAAACTTATGCACAAATCTGGGAAAGAGAGCAACAATCCATGCACATGGTTTTCAGTGAGAAGACTTAAAAGAACATGTTGTTGGCCTCATTAGTGTAACTTTCCAGTTGTTAGCAGCTCACCGTGCCATAATGCAAATACAATGGCTGCTGCTGATTTTATCAAATACCGGTGGCCTACAAGAGTAAGACTGGTGTGTGAAAATGAGAATGCAAGACTGCGAGATAGTGCAAAGCAACAACTTAATTATTACTTTACTTATGAAAAAAAACCAACACCCCCCCCCCCCAAGATTCCATTGATTTTCAGTGAGGATGTTCCTTTCTAGTGGATGTTCCACCAGCCTAAGAAGCCAGTCACAGAACTGCTTCAGTCTGAACCACTGTAGCAAATAGCCACCATGGACTGATTGGAAACATGTCTGTCATCCATACATGGCCAGTCATGAGAACTGGCTCTGGATACAGGCAGGACAAGGCTGCTTCAAAGTTGTTTCAGAAGGAGCCCTCAGCAGACTGTAAATGAACATGCACAAACATTTCTGCTTCATACCGTGCTTAATAATGTTTATCCATCCAGCACTAATCCCACTGTCCCTGGGCATGCAGGCCAGCTCAGGAATGGTAATTGCATTATAGCATGTGTTGCTGGAAATACAGCTTATGGTTACAATACAGCAGTAGTCCACAACAGAGAGCTACATCTGCCAGAAATGTTGGGGCTATTTGAAGGATGGTTAGTAAAGAAACACAGTGGGCAAAATCATTACATTTCATAGCCTGCGCTCCCCTTCCCCTGTTCTGTCTGCATAATTTTCATCAATCAGTTATCCTCACAGCTGTAGAAACAATGACCAAATTAATGCACCTTGATGTGAACAGCCAAGGGAATTATATGATGTCTTCCCCAGTAAACAGGCAACTTTCTCCCACAATTCCAAATGAGATTGCTGGCAGATCATTCTTTGCAAAGGCCCATTTTCCCGCTTCAAGATTTCACCAGTTCCCAATGCTTCTTCCCAAAAAGCACCTTATTCTACTAATTTTGCTCCCACTTCTCCTGAGCCTAATGTCCTTGAGATATTTGCAGACTCTTCTCCAGAGTCCTGGCCTACTTCATCCAAACTGCACATATTTAATAGTCAGCCCTGACATACCTCTCATTTACTGAGGCTCTCAATATTCCTCCCCCCTCCCCCACTACCCAGGTATTTTCCCATTCCTTTGAATGTCTTTGCAATTCTATTCCTTTCCAAACTTCCTTCAGCTCCATTGCCAAGTCTCATGATTTATGATTTATTATTTATTACTGCTGTTTTGTCAAAGCCTCAAAACTTTGCAGACAGATGCAGTGAAAACAACCACCACCACCCTCCACGTTCATTGGCAAAGGCAGAACTTTTCCATATTTTTTATTGTATGGTAACAACAGGAAATCAAGCACACTTATAAAGGCTCAAAGATGCTATTTTTCAAAGGCATTGGCTTGAACCTCCTTCCCCCGGACACAGAGATCTTTAAATAGACTCAAAGGAGGATCTCAATTGAGTGTACACACATACACACAGAGAGAATTCAAGTACAGGGCAGATCATGTTTCTGTCTGTCCCCTTGTTCTCTGATGAGGTTGTTCATATTCCAAAGGAAAGGTCAGGTTGTTTTAAAGAACAAAGCCCTTGTTTGTGAAAGAACACTAGAGATGGTTACTCAGAGCTCAGGTGATACCCCAAGGCTGGACTACTAGTAGGAAAGGCATAATACTGGAAGAGAAAATCTAGATCTTCTCAAGGCCCCGGGGAAATAAGGAGAAATTCTGAACTTAAAGCCTTTGTTTGCTCCTGATGGACAATCACATCTCAAGGCAACTTGCAGCCTTATACCAGAAACCTTTAAGATTTATTTACTAACTCAGTTCAGCATTGTTCATGGGCAGTCAATGCCTCACACTAACTAACCCTGAAGATTTACAGACAATGAATCTCAGCACCTGTCTCATCTTCAACATGGGCAGCAGGAGGAGGATCTATTTGCAGCACTACAGTCCCTTCCCAGGGATCTCACATGTAACTTGCTGCCAACTTCACAGCACACATAGCAGCTTGGGTTCACGGAGCTGTCAATCTGCCGTCTCTACCGCCAGCCATGATGCTTGACTCTAAAAAAATCAAAGGAAATTCCACAAACTGCAGGGCCAGTTATCTCCAGATGGAGAGAGACACTGAGGTGCAGTACACTACATGTGTGATTGATGCAGGCTGCCAGCCCAGGGGCTTCTCAGAACCCATTCCAAGAAAGTATTCTTCATGCTCATGGCTAAGATCCCAAGAGAATGTACGGCTGAGAATAGGTTCTTTGAAGAGTAGTTAAGTAGATGAACTTGAAATTAAAGCAGAACCTCCAGACCTGGATATTGGTACCCTCTGAGACATTCTGGATACAGACCCTTCAACAAGCCATTAATGGCCACACAAACTGTACTCCACACAAGACCCTTGTCATACCACAACTGTTTGAACACAGAGATGTTGTGCCTTACCTTTGAAAGAGAGCTGCACCCTTGGTGCAGCAAATAGGTAATCCTTGGAGTAGGATGGCTGCCAGCCCACGATTAGCAGGGTGGCCCAGAGCAAAAAGCCAAACAGGGGCATGATCAGGAGAGCTGAGAACCCAAAGTCCAGGCAAAATTCTTAGGCAGTCTAGCAGAGGGAGAAAAAGAGGACACCAAAGAAATGTGTTATTAACGGGTCACAAGACAAGAACTGAACAACTAAAATTTCTCTACTGGAAGGCTGCTCTATTCTTCCACCCAACCACACCCATGTCAGTGGAACAATAAACTTGGGAGGCTTACAAAAGCACCAGGCAGTCTTCCATAAGGCAGGTCCAGCTCTCCAATGTACAACCCTGGTCAATCACCTTCATTTCAGGTATACTCAGGAACATAATGAAAGAGCACTTAGCATATGTTTCTGTTGGCAGTGCTGTTGCAGTACTTCTTGGCTCCAAACTCCAGATGTATAAATGACTTCTGCATATGATAGTCCCCTGACAGTTCAAATGGCTGACAGGAACCCATGTGAGCCATGAGTAATGAGGGCCAGCCTGTGTGGGCTGCTGGAGTGTAGAGGATCCAAACAATTATCTACTCCCACAGTGGATCCTGAACATCAATTCCCTTTTTTCTTCTACAGCCCTACCATTTTATTATGATTTTATTTGGTCTGACACTTTGCCCGGTGTTAAATATACTCTGGCACACACTGCAGTTTGGAGCATATTCTAGATAATTATTTGTATTAACTTTTGCCCAGCTTTGCTTTCCATGGGTTTTTATTGTGAGTTTGTTTATTTGAACCTCTAGCCCTGAACCATACTCAGCTCCCATAAATATTTCTAGTCCTCAAGGTTGCAAAGAACAGGCTGAAAATTACCCTACTTGCCACAGAACTTGCATACTTTTGGTAACTGAAACTCACCCCCATCCTTTTGCCCACCCATGCCTCTTCTGGATGGAAAAAAAAGCTATAATGTTGTATCTTTCTTTCTTGCCTTCCTCTGGGAGACACAGAACTGGGTAGATATCATTAAAAGTACTATTTTATTTTCAGAAATTAGGAAGAGCCTTCCCTCCCTTTGGCAGTTCCTTTTATAACATATCATCAGCCTCTCAGGTAACTGTAGGGCCCCACATACTATGATATCATTTGCATTTCCATTTTGTGTTTTTCCATTATACTCATTTGCTATTTAACATCCTGTATCAATGATAGGCCACCTACCCTTTGCTTTTATTGTACTCATATGCTGCAATCACACACACTAAATAATCCACTTTCAATGCACTTTCAATGAACTTTCCAACTGGATTTTGCCAGTTCACACAGTAACAGTGAGCAAAAAAACCATAGAGGTTTGCCCAAAAACTAGAGTGTACCACTCCTGACATAAGCAACGTGATGATGTCACTTCTGGGTGATGTCTTTGCACCTCCTAATGAGGAACCAGGAGCCCCCTGCCATATCAGTGGTAGGACCTGGCAACCCTAGGATAGAGTCATTGCCCAGCAATTGACAAATCTGCTGTGCATGCAAAAGGTCCCAGGTTCAATCCTCCAAGTTTCCAGTTAAAAGAACCAGAGAGTAATTACATGAAAGACCTCTACCTGAGACCCTGGAGGGCCACTGCTGGTTAAGTACACTGTACTGACCTCAATCAACCAAGGGTCTAACTCAATACAAGGCAACTTCCTGTGTTCAACAGCTGATTTAGATGATGGGGGCAGATGGAATAGTTAGAGGGGTTACATTTTGTCTCTTTTAACCTTTTCATTGAGTGTAAGGATTATCATAATCAGGGTTATGTTATTTTATCCTCTAAACAGGAGATAAACTGAGGGTATGAGAAATGGAAATGAAGAATGTTGTGGTCTTTACACTTGAGAGGGAGGCAGGTTTGATAGGGCTAGACAGGGGTTGGTTTATTGTGTATTTATTTAGATCATTTATACCCTGGGACTCTTGGGGTGGCTTGTAAAGTTAAAAGAAAAAAGCAGATCTATCAACAACAATAAAATATGCAGAAAAGGGGGGAGGGGAGACATGCCAGGGACAAACAAGCCACCCCTAAAAACTAAAACACTGACCAGCAGTGAAACCAACCTGCAGTAAAAGTAACTTGAGAGACATGTTAGATAAAAACAGGATAAAGAATCAAGATAAAAGAAACATAGGAGCAGCCAAACAATAACATACAACCTCACTAAAAGAACAAATCAACAGAATATGACCAGCAACAACTCTGGAATGAAAAAAAATGTTTGCCAAGCATTGAAAACTCACTAAGCTTGGCACCACACAAATCACAGAAGGGAGGGGAGGTGGTACAACTGAAAGACCTTGTTACTGGTATTCATCTTCCTAGTCTCAGGCAGTGGGGGCACCTGGAGCAAGGTCTCTAATGAGAAAATTAACTGACAAACAAGCTCTCCGGAGAGCAGGCAGGCTTTTAAATACCCTAGTCCCAGACTAGTCTCTGTAGGGTTTTCAAGTTAAGCCTGTTGCAGCAAAAACAAAAAAGGTATCTTTACCAGCGCAGGACAATAAGTGTTAGAAGATGAGATTCTTTTCTGGGTTTCTGCTGTTTTATAGGGATGCTAAATTTGGGATACATTATCTGAATGCTGATGTCTCAAGAGCATCATTGGAATGGTTGACATCACAAGTCAGGTTGCGGTCAGTAGGATCCAGGACAGGCTGGTAGACATCTGGAAAACACTGGAGAGCCTAGAGGAGTTGTGGTGGGCAACCAGTGTGATTTTAATATATTTTGTCACCCCAATCAGGGCACAGTTTTGCAAGCATGACACTCAATGTGTGGCTGCCATTAACTAAGTATCAGTACAAGTTAACTAGGAAGTACCCCTCAGCCGTAAAGGAAGAAATAGCAGGCTGACATAACTAGACTCTTTACCCTTTTTATGTACATGCATTCCATCAAGTCACAACCAACTTAGGGCAAGGGGCTTTCAAGGCAAGTGAGAAATAGAGGTGGTTTGCCATTGCTTTCCTCTGCAGAGTTTTCCTTCAGGCATCCTTGATTTGAGCAAAAAAGAAACCTCTGACCTTGCATGTATTACCAAGATCTAGTTAGATGGCTATGGTCTGTGGATGCCCAGATGTCTCCATCCAGGTACTCAGTGTAGCAGCAAGTGATCTTAAAGACACTTTGGTTTAATGATGGTACCCATCTAACATAGAACAGGAGAGCTTGGATGTCTGCACTCCTACTACATTTTGGTCTCTCCTAGTCACTGAGGTCTGCAGATGGTGCTTTAGGATTCACTGCTATGCTGTAACCACCAGACTGCAGCAGTGCCTAGGAGTGCTTTTCACTTACTACATCAGGAATTACAGTTGTGGCCCTTTCACTGCAATTTGGATATGATCTGCCTTTAGAATCACAACATGATTATTGCAATGCACTGTAAGTGGGGCTGCCACTGAAAAGCATTCATAGGTTGCAGCCAGTGCAGAATGCTGTGGCCTGCTTCCTGATGGGGATGGGGGTTGTCAAAAGCCGCACATTACTCCATTTCTCTAGGGTCTGCCTTACTGCTTTCTGAGCATGATTCCAGGTGTTGGCTTTATCCTTTAAAGCCGAAAAGTAGCACAGGCCACACTTCTCTATGATATCTATAATTTGCTAAAGGTGGCTTTAAAACATTTTGTTCTGCACACATCAATGGCAAATCACATAAGGAAATGTTCTCAGCAATTGCTCCCCAATTTCCCTCGGCTGCAAGTCCAAGCCTAAGCAAGTACAGGCAATTAGTGGCTGGAATGAAGATTAACTTAATCAACTACTTTCTAATATTTTATGCATGTGTTTATACTATTTCAATTATGTGTTTTGTACAGAATCTTTACTGTTGCCACCTATCCTGAGCCCAAAACCTGGGGTTCCATATTTAACTCTGCTTAGGAGCATTGTTAAATCAGGTAAATGGCTGAGGTCCACACACTTGAGTTTGTCATTGTGTAACATCTGTACAGCTACAGCAGACTGCTAGTTATTACACAAATATACAGAGAGAAGAACCTTAATCTTACATATAATGCCTCACCTTAGCCTAAATTTCTAAAAAGCCATGTTAAGGAACTTTCTCTGACTACGTAACACCAATAGAACAATTCAAGAATATGGATCAGTATTCAAATACAAGTTGCTGTGGCACTCTGATAGGTATTCATAATTTTGGTAGGATCAAATACAAGTTGCTGTGGCACTCTGATAACATGCTTGGTGCATCTTTTCACAGATGGGACTATAGCAGAATTTTCCTTTGCAGTTTAAGAAGCCTACAGGAGGAATGAATACCAGGCCATTCCAGCCCAACTGCAATTAACGGGCTCACATGTTGCTCTCATTTGGTAAAGTAAACAGAGTTTGATTGAGGGGCAGTAATCAAGTCCTCTCCTCTAGGGGCTATAAGGACTCTTTTCATTCCTATCTTATAGTAGCAGGAGCCAAAGCCAGCAGCCCACCCACTAGGGGCCCTTCACCCCACAAAACTGCCCTTTCCCCACACAGAGAGAGGGAGGGGGAAAGGAGGGTGGGGTGTTCCTCCTCCTTCTCTGCCCTCCCACTGAGCACAGAAATGCACTGAACCAGGGGAAGTACTTTGTCCAGTACACTCTCCACTTTCTTGGCAGAATAAATCTGGACTTAATCATTTAAAAAGACAGAATGCATTTTCCTTAGAAGTAAGACTTAAAAAAAAAAGAGTTTGTGTGTACTAGACCATCTGGGCTCCACTGGGGTCTTAGCGGGAACAGATTTGACAGACTTGCCTAGATAGAGTGCCAGGGGCCCTGTGAAACTAGCTAGCCAGAATTCAGGTGGGACTGAGCACGTGTGATTTACAACATTACCTTTGTTCATCCTCAAGTGTAAGTTACACACAGCTTTCTCCACTTCAGCAAAGACTATCACAAATATAAAACACTTTCCAACATGGAATCCACCCTTGCCTTTAAACCAGAGTCTCTGGGTTTGAACCTGCAATAGCTCCCTGCTCTTCAGTTTCTCTAGCTGTGTGGTCAGACGTGACACAGCAACTGAGTGGCTGACCTCTACATAATTTGTTTGCTTTTTGTAGTTCTAGCTGGTAGAGGGTAACAAAAGCCTTTATTCCAGG